AAGAGTACCTCTTGGGAGCACTAAGACAAATAGAATTCTACTAGATTCTTGTTTTGACAAATTCAGCATGACTGCTCTTCTGGACAATCATTCTATTTCAAGTGTTCAGTCAGATGCTGGTACTGGTTATCAGAAAGGCAACTACTGGTTGCATGATGAAGATATCATAAACCCAAACAAAATAATCTAGGATTGCAGAAATGCAATTTTTTAAAGAAAAATTCAGTCGGATGGGACCAAGGTTATACGTGCACCAGAAAACCGTCCAATGAAGACTAAGAGTGTTTAGTAGTTGAGGAATACTGTCAATTGGGTGTGCAAGACAGTATCCAGTATCATGGGGTTACAGCTGACTGAATAGTAATGTATTTTGTAATGTATTTCGCAACCCCAATTTGTTAAGCAAACCTTACAGAAGCTGGGTTGTTGTATGTTTTTTGGCTGTATGGCCATGTTCCAAAAGCATTCTCTCCTGATGTTTCGCCTGCAGTGATTCTGGCCATAAAAGCCTTCAACTTACAGAAGCTTCTCAATTGAGGTCTTTGATAAAATAGCTCCACTGTTAGTTTTTTTAAAGAAAATAATTATTACCAGATTTTTCTTACTTTATTTTTAAAAATCTGCAACTTCATTTTGTCTTTACTTTCAGTGAGGAACTTAATAAAATGGTTGTATATTTACTACGAGAAAGTATATCATACCATTTTTTTTTAAAAAGGAACATAGCCTTGTTTTGAACACAGTGAAATTGAGGTCTAAAAGGTTAAAGTGGTTATGCAAACTAAATCAACACTAGGGTTGGGGAAAATAATCTCATCTCACCACTGGATAAATAATAAATATTCGGCATTTGAACATTGAAAGAACTTCACATACATCTTCTAGTAAGCCCTTGTTGTTTCTTCATATCGAAGATCCCGTATATATAATTATTAGGCCTGATCAATCCATGGTTCTAAATGGATCTAAAGTACTTATAAAACTAAAGTTCTGGTGATGAAAATTTCAGAACTCTAACAAAATTCTCAAAATTTCATCATAAATGGCAGTTCCTAATTAGTTCTATCATAAAAATCACCAATAATGAAATAATATTCCTGTATGAGATAAAGGTAAAGGTTTCACCTGACTCTAGGGGGTGGTACTCATCTCCATTTCTAAGCCGAAGACCCAGCATTGTCCACAGACACCTCCAAGATCATGTGGCCGGCATGATAGCATGGAGCACCATTACCTTCCTGCTGATGCGGTACCTATTAATCTACTCACATTTGCATGTTTTCAAACTGCTAGGTTGGCAGAACCTGGGGCTAACAGCAGGAGCTCACCCTGCTCCCCAGATGCAAACCCCCGACCTTTCAGTCAGCAAATCAGCAGCTCAGCAGTTTAACCTGCTGCTCCACTGGGGGCTCCAGGGGACATGATAGACGTGCTTAAATACCTGCAAGGATGACACCTTGAGGAAGGGGAAAGCTTGGGGCTGACAGAGCGAATGGCATGTATAAAACAGCCAGTGAGTTTCATGGGAGAGGCATTATTAAAATGAGACGTTATCCCAATCCACACCATTAATCATTACCTCAGTTGTTCAGATTTCTTCATATTCTTCTTAAGTACAACTTTTTCAAATGTGGGTTTTTTTTAGCCCAAGACTGTCAGTTTGCTGCTTATGGAATATGGTATACATGGCCCCTATTAAATAGTATTCTGAGTATTTTCAATCTGCATGCGCTTCATGTAAATCCTGCTGTGCAAACGCCTGTGTATGTTAAAATTAGCTGTGACTCACTTTTTAACTTAGTTGTACTTTGTCATAGAATTTGATTTAGCTGCAGCTAGAGATGGACAAATTCTCCTTGGTAGAGCCTGAAACTGTGCTTGGCCCATCTCTTCTGGCTTCTGTTTCAAGCCAAGTTGATTTTTTCATATTGCAAATTCAAATGTAACCTCATTATACTTGCAGTAATGTTTTCAGGAATGTAATGTGTCTGTCTGATTTTGCCGGTCTCTCTGGTTTGTCAAAAGTAGTTTGTCATAAAGATACATAATACATGGCAAAAATACACGAACAGGAGAAAAAGCCATTCCAAATTTATCGCTTGTTTTTAATGTTTTTTTCTGCTTTGAACCAAGAGCATATTTTTCTATTCTAGGCATAGTAAAGGTAAAGGTTTCCCCTTGACATTAAGTCTAGTCAAGTCCAACTATGGGAGGTGGGGCTCATTTCCATTTCTAAGCTGAAGAGACACCTCCAAGGTCATGTGGCCAGCATGACAGCATGGAGCGCCGTTGCATTCCCGCTGGAGTGGTACCTATTGATCTATTCATATTTGTGTGTTTTCAAACTGCTAGGTTGGCAGATGTGTAGGTATGCCAAAATACCTGGGACCCACAGGTTGAGAACCATTGCTTTATATGTTTTGGTACATGTCTCTTAAGTTTTATTCTTGGCTTATATAGAAATTCATGATTTGGGCCCCAAAATCTGTTCTCTACTTATACAGAAGATTAATTTATATATAAGTATACTAGCCGTCCCCTGCCAGGCATTGCTGTGGCCCAGTTTGGTGATCTGGAAAATAAAGTAATGAGAAAGTGTTGGTTTCTAATATATTTTTGTGGGTAAACAGTATTTCTTGCTGTTTCTTTGTCAGTGTTGATGTGGAGATTGTCTGGTTTGCCTACTCTGGAACATGCAACATATAATTGTCCTTCTTTAGGGGTCCCTTTCAAATCTATGATACTATATCTGTGTGTGTGAATCATATATATCTATCTATATCTATGACTGGATGGCTCTTTGTCGAGAGGGCTTTAATTGTTTTCTTGCCCTGGAAAAGGGAGTTGGACTAGATGGCCTTGAGTATTTTCTGTTGGTCATGGGGGTTCTGTGTGGGAAGTTTGCCCCAATTCTGTCATTCATGGGGTTCAGAATTCTCTTTGATCATAGGTGAACTATAAATCCCAGTAACCACAACTCCCAAATGTCAAGGTGTATTTTCCCCAAACTCCATCTGTGTTCATATTTGGGCATATGGAATATTCGTGCCAAGTTTGGTCCAGATCCATCATTGTTTGAGTCCACAGTGCTCTCTGGATGTAAGTGAACTACAACTCCCAAACTCAAATTCAATGCCCACCAAACCCTTCTAGTGTTTTCTGTTGGTCACGAGAGTCCTGTACGCCACGTTTTGTTTAATTCCATCATTGGTGGAGTTCAGAAAGCTCTTTATTTGTAAGTGAACTTGAAATCCCAGCCACTACAACTCCCAAATGACAAAATCATTTTTAATGATGTCACTCCTTGGGTTAGTAGGTCTTGTGTCCAAATTTGGGGTCAATTCGTCCAGTGGTTTTTGAGTTATGTTAATCCCACAAACGAACATTACATTTTTATTTATATAGATATGGCAGGCATGGGCTGTTAAAAAAATGTGGGAGCTGAAGTCTAACACACCTGGAGAGCTGAAGTCTACCCATACCTGATAAATGGTAATCAGGCACAGTCGGATCTATCATATCAAAATTGACCAACAATATGGCAAAGAGTGCTTTCATGTCTGATTACCATATACTCATGCAATTTTACTGAAGGTGACATTGTGATCAAGATATTATTTTTCTTTTCACTGTTGTAAGTTCCTGTAAGTTCTAAAATCTCTTTAAGGTAAGGCCAGAATACCAGTGAATTATTTCCCCAGCAGCTGAAGAGAAACATACACGATTAGGGCTCAATGGGAAGAACAGTTCCCAGGGTCGGGAGATGAAATGGTACGGATACCCCTTTCTTCACTTGCCATTGATTTCTTATTGCAGAAGCATTTCATGTCCTGCAAAGCAAGTCCTTTCCCTCATGTTAAGATTTCACCGAGCTTACAAAGCAGGGGATTAGTTCTCACTGACTAATCTGAGTTGAACACACAGAGGATCTAACTGTAAGTCTCACATCTTACTGGCACTTGATCAATCTTCTTCAAAAAGTGAAAGAATAGGGGCACTGATGCCATGCAAGAATGGGAAAGAAAGACAAACGTATCAAGCTGTCAATTGCTGACACTGCTTTTCCGTTTTAAGAACTGTGGTTTGGAAATAATGAAGTCAAAGGAGCAAGGAGTGTCCAGAAAAAACTGAGGTGGGGGAAATGTAGCAAACTTCAGCAATTTTCCAGCCAGTTTTTGAAACTTACCAGATAGTTCAGGGTCAGGCTAAATGGGTGAGGAGCAAACGGACCAGTTTTTAGCTTGGTTATAAAACTGATTAGAAAAAGTTAGAACATATATGCCTATCATAATCATATTTACTCAGAAGTAAATTTGCAACACACTACTTCTGCGTGACAGGCAGCAGACAAAAAATTAAACATATACACAAAGCACAAAATAAGCTGCTAACACGTTGCCAAGAACCACCTGCTTCAGCAATCCTTAAAGGATATACTTGAGTTATGAGAGGTGAGAAAAGGAAGAATACAGATCTACATACTCAGCTATTGATGTTCATAAGTATAGGCAGATCATGGCATTATATTCCTGAAGTGAGGACAGCCAATGGAAATTTGACTTTCAACTGACAGTGGTAGAGTAGTAAGTTGTAGTACTAGGAACCATCTGTGCAGAAACGTGCAACAAACAATATTTCTGACTCTTTGCACTAACGTTATCTAATCACATTCATTTTAGTTTATTTTAACCAACTTCCTATATGTCAGAAAACAGTTGGAGCATGTAAGATATTTAAAATATTTAAATAAAGCACAATTGCTTTTACAGAAGAAAACTGGTAATACTTACACAAAATGGAAGGAAATGAAGGAATGTAGTGGCGCAGAAAGCTGCATCAGGCGAGTTCACGTCTTCTGTACAAAATTCAGGGACTGGAGTGAGATGAGGCCCATTCCCTTTTTCCCAGATATATAGCGCAATCTTCCAAAACATAACGTAAAATGTACAAAAATATCAATTAGCATTTAAATATGTTCCTATTAAAAAGATATACAAATACACCAGAAATAACTTGTATATGAATCTGTAGGGGCGATGCAGATATTTGAAGTGGCTTGGGATTGTGTAATAGCTGGTCTATTTTAACCTTTGTTTTAACCTTTGTTTTTAATTTTTGTGGTCTGATATTTACCTTGGCATTTTAATGATGATATTTTAAATTATCTTTTAACTTAATCAAGTTTGAATGTATGTTTGTTCATTATTAAGGGAATCTTAGGATAGTGATTACTGTCTATTTGTGTACGTTTCTGTTTTTGTTTTTAATGTTGATACGATCAGTGGACTTATCAATAAACTTTGCTTGCTTGTATATGAATGGTAGATTGCAAAAAATAATAAGGCAAAAAACTGCTATTTTGATGCACAAAAAATTCTCAAAATTGAACCTGAGATTATGTTAATAATTCCATTATTATTAGACAGAGTACTCTACTAATACACTACTTGTTCTTCTCCGTGTAAAACATTTATACTTGAGTATAAGCGGACCCGAATATAAGCCAAGGCACCTAATTTTACAACAAAAATCTAGGAAAATGTATTGATTAGAGTATTAGCCGAGGGTGAGAAATACAGCAGCTACTGGTAAATTTCAAAATAAAAACAGATACCAATAAAATTACATTAGTTGAGACTTCAGTAAGTTACATGTTTTTGAATATTTACGTAAAACTGTAATTTACGATAAGACTGACCAACTCTGATTAAACCATTATTCTATCCGTCTTCAATGTAAATGTGATTATGTATCCTTCCAATAATAATAGAAGAAAATAATATATGTAAGAATAATAGAGTAAAATAATGGAATGTAATAACAGTAATAATAGAGTGAAATAATAAATGTAATAATAAAGTAAAATAATAAAAATATAATACTAATAGAGTAAAATAATAAATGTAATAATTATAATAGAGTAAAATAATGTAACTGAAATACCAATAATAAATAGAGTAAAATGATAAATGTAAGAATAATAATAATAATAATAATAATAATAATAACAGAGTAAAATAATTAATAACTTTGACTCGAGTATAAGCCTTAAAAAAAGCTGTAATTTCATTATTTGCTCTAATGTCATTACCTTCCAAAACTTTGAACAATTCATTATCTGTAGGTATCTCATCATTCCCATGCTCTGAGTGATGAGATAAATCTAGCTGTTTTACTAAACTTTTTTTTTCTAGAGCTTTCTGAGAAATGCTTTAAAAAGTCTCAAATTCTTGAGTATTTTTCTACGAAAACTAAAAATAAACAAACTGGTAAATGCCCTCAAGGATAGAAGGAGGCTGCTTTTCGAACTCCCCTAATTCAGAATTTGGCCCCATCATTAACTGTTTCATATAAACATAAATAATGCCTATGTCTGATGTATACAATGATTCAAGAAACTGCACATATGTTCAGTGACTACTGTTTATTCCCAACTGTGGAACAACAAAACACACACTGAAAATAAGTTCAGTTACAGCTTGACACAAACAGATGGCTGTGAAGGTTAATAAATTTTCACACAGCTGTGCAGATACACACTGACATTCCTCTTTGTTGCTACTGTTAATGTTTGAATAAGTCAATTTCTGGATATATATTTAAAAATATTGTTTTAAATGGTTAAAGACTGTTATACATGATCTATGTTCAAATCTTCTTTATTTTGACAACAAAGGCAAACTGTATGGATGTCTAGTGGAAAATTTTGAGGAGGAAGCCAGGACTGCTGGCTCACAACCAACGTAAGTTAAGGCACTGCTGCATGCCTTACAACAGCTGTGCCATGATTGTTTCCATGACTTAGCCTGCAGGAAGTTATACTTACAGCAAGTGCAAGCTGGTTGCCCTGCTGAAAAAGAAGGCACGGTATCTCGAGGCTTGTCTACCGTTATTTCAGCTCATCAGGAAATATGATAATGCAGGGCAGATTATCTTGGAATAGCTAGAAGGGTGCTTCCAAGAATGACCAAAATTATCAAATACATGATATAAGCATTGGGAGGTATGTGACAGAGATAAAATGACTGAGGGGGTTATGACTGATCCCAGGCACACATCATGGATGATGATTCTAGGAGAGCAGTCATAGGATTCAGAGATCATAAAGGTAGTGCAGAAAGAGTCTGTGGAACGAAAGATTCCTACCATTTCCCAGAAGAGAAAAAAACATGTGGTGGTGCCAGCTCTCAACTTATGATGAAAGAAACAATAGGGCAGTGTTTCTCAACCTTCCTGATGCTACAGACCCTTAATGCAGTGCCTCATGTTGTGGTGACCCCCAACCATAAAATTATTTTTGTTGCTACTTCAGAACTGTAATTCTGCTACTGTTATGAATCGTGATGTAAATATCTGATATGCAGGACATATTTTCATTCACTGGACCGATTTGGCACAAATACCCAATACACCCAAATCTGGATACTGGTGGGGTTGGGATTTTGTCATTTAGGAGTTGTAGTTGCTGAGATTTATAGTTCATCTACAATTAAAGAGCATTCTGAACTCCACAAACAATGGAATTGAACCAAACTTGGTGCACAGAACTCCCATGACCAACAAAAAATACTGGAAAGATTTGGTGGGTATTGACCCTGAGTTTTGGAGTTGTAGTTCACCTACATCCAGAGAGCACTGTGGACTCGAACAATGATGGATCTGGACCAAACTTGGCACGAATACTCAATATGCCCAAATGTGAACACTGGTGGAGTTTGGGAAAAATAGACCTTGACATTTGGGAGTTGTAGTTGCTGGGATTTATAGTTCACCTACAATCAAAGAACCTCACCGACGATAGAATTGGGCCAAACTTCTTACACAGAACCCCCATGCTTCCCTCTAGCCTCACACACTCTCCCACGGCCACACATGTGCACCACGCTGCTATGTGCTGAGCACGCCTGCTCTCCCCTCCCCAGAAGTGAATCACTTGTCATACAGATGTGTCTTTGAGAAAGAGCTGTCCTCTTGGACCATGGTCTGTGCTTTCCTGAAGGATATCTGTGAAGAGACAGAGTGTACCTCACAGAATAGGAAAAGATATCTGAAACCTTATCAGGAGGATCTTTTAACTGAATCCTGCAGGGTAAGGAGATAGTTACTGAGGACAATAGCATCAATGATGTATGGGAAACAAGGGAAATGGTAGGGAAACATGTCAACAGGAATTAAAACAATAAGAAGAGAACACCCAGAGTTCCAGATGTCTACACCAACAAAAAGAGCATAGGAAATAAACAAGATGAGCTTGTATTAACACAAGAAGGGAACTTTGATCATGATAGGATGGAATCCTTGATTGGAACACAGTAATTGAGGGGTATAGCACAATCACAAAAAATTAGCTAAATAGCAAGGGTGCAAGGAGTACCATTATCTGTAAGGGTGTGTACACCTGCAAGGTGATCCATGACTGCTTGAGTACAATTGAGTAAACATTATAGGAGAGGGAAACAACAATGATATTGCTATGGGGTTGTTTTTCAGATCTCCAAGCTGACTGAATGATGCTTTTTTAGATCATATTATTAAACTTTCAAAATGAAAAGATATGGTAGTAATGGGAGACTACAACTATCTTGGTATTTAATTGAAGGCAAATTCTACCAAGAATATAAGCTCCAACAAATATCTTTCTTGCTTTGCTGACAATTTCTCCTGAAAAGCCCAATGAAAATCGGCCATCTCGGATTTAATTTTCATCAGAATTGAAGAACTGGCCACCGAGGTGAAAATAGTGGGGAAGTTGCATGGAAGCGATTATATCTTCCTGAGTTTGTTATAAAGAAAGGGGTGGCCATATGTAGAAAAACATACATATAGACTCTAGGAAAACGAAAATGAGTAAACTTAAGAAAATACTGAGATCCTCTTGGCAGAAATACTCAGAGAAAGGAATTCATGAGGGATGGGAATTTTTAAATGGTAAGATATTGAAGGGAAGTTACAAACACTTCCAATGAGAAAAAAGTAGGAAGTGTCCAAAGACCTGAAGGTTACTGCATAAGGAACTTTTGTATCAACTGAGACTTAGAGGGGGCATGTGTACGAGAAATGGAAAAAGGGGCACATTACCTAGGAAGAGTAAAAACAAGTAGCAAATACATGTAAGGGAGAAGGGAAGGGTATGAGAAAGGTCAGAATGAGCTCAGGCTTGTAAGAGCTGTTAAAAATAACACAAAAGGAGGTTCTGCAAGAGAAAAACAAAAACTGTAGCTTCACTGTATGAAGAAACTGGAGAAATGCCGTAAGGAAGAGGGAACAGGCTTGTTTTCTACTGCCCTGGAGACTAGGACTCAGAGCAATGGATTCAAATTACAGGAAAGGAGATTCTAATTAAATATTTGGAAGAAATTATTGACTGTAAGGGCTGTTCAGCAGTGGGACTCACTGCCTTGGAGTGTGGAAGAAGCTCCTTCTTTGAAGGTTTTAAAACAGAGGCTAGATAACCATCTCTTGTCAGTGGTACTTTGATTGTTCTTTTCTTGCATGGCAGGGGGTTGGACTACATGGCCCATGTGGTCTCTTTCAATTCTGTGATTCTATTATTCTAAATGCTAACAGGTGACAAAGAGAAGATGGAACTGCTCAACAAATACTCTTCCTCAGACTTCTCTCAAAAATAAAACAATGTTGACTGGTGAAACAATAAATATGCACCGAGAGGGCTATAGTCCAAAACAAGTAAATAGGTGATACAGGGACATCTACCTACTTTGAATGAATGGAAGTCCCCAGAGCTAGATGAAATGTACCCAAAGGCCCCAAAGGAACTTGTAAATGCAATTTAAAATCCTCTATTTATTTTTTTTAGAATTCTTGAGAATAGGTAAAGACCCTAAGGACTGGAGAGAGGCAACTATTACCCCAGACTACTCTATTATCACTGCCAGAAAAGAGTGTGTCTCCCTGGGGAGAT